CAGCACACCAACGCTGCAGAGGGACAGCGTTCCTACACACCTGTCCTTAACCTGCCCGGCCCTCAGTCCTAAAAAAGCTGGAAACCCTGTAACAGAAGGTCAGACCTGTGCCATGTGGTCAGCGTTTGCGCTCAGGACAGTTTTCAGGCGGTTGGCCTCCTTCAGTAGTTTGGCCATGGCCCGGGGATTCTTTCGGACGTCTTTTGAAGGGTGCTGATCATTAAAGAGTTTCGCCAAATAGTCCCGGAGACGAAGCTCCATCTCTAAACCCCCAAGAGTACGGTCAAACCTGAGCAAAAGAACCAACGGAGATGTAACAACTTAAACCGAACTGAAACACAAACAAACTTCATGTCTTATTTCACAAATATGCAGAGCAGCAAGCGGTCAAAAGTAGCTGCAGCACTATCAGCTGTGATTGACTGTGAAAGAACAACGGTTGTTCCAAAAATAACACATTATAATGAAACAAAGAAAAGAAAGATTCACCACCACAACAGCCTTTGAGCAGGAAACTTCATTACATTTATGGTAAAGGCCTTATTGTCAAGCACGTCAAACAGCTGAGAAGCCAAAGGATAACCATCTCAGGTATTTTCTTGGAAACAGCAGTATTAACGTTTTGGAGTTAAAATTGCTGGGCTGGCGATTCACAGCACCCCCCCTCCTTATTTGGCAAACGCACTGCATTTTCATTCCTCTCTGGAAGGATATTCTGCTTTTTCAAACTGACAGGCTCTACTTCTGTGAGATTATAGGAAATGGAATTACGCTAACATGGCTTGAGGCTATAAAAAAAAGCAAGCCTGAAGCAATTTAAGTATACTGGTTGCCTCCTGGGCTCCTGGAAGTTCTCAGTTACCTTCTGCATAAGACAGCGACACGAGAATTATTACCAAGCGGAGCCTTCTCGCTCCAAACATTTCCCACTCTGCCATCCAAATTACTGTGCTGAAGCCTCACCGCAGAATTCCACATTTAGAAGAGACTGTGAAACAAATGGTTTCTTTCCTGAGACCTGTGGGGTTTGTGCAACTCATGTTGAATTCTTACCCAATGCCCTGGATCTGCAATTGAGGTTGGGTTCCCGAGTCCTTAGTTTTCACTGTCTGATACGTAACAATAGTACAAACGGTGCTTCCTGCTCCCATGTCGTAAAACATGATATTCTGAAAAGAGAAGCTGGGACGGTGAAGCAGAAACACCTGGATATCCCCCATGAATAAGGAAAGAACCCACTGCTGTCCGAGCTTGATACAGGCCAAGACTATCCGCTCCCTAGCCTGGCTTTATACCGTAAATGACAGGACTCGTACTTTGATCAAACACAGGAGATGTTCCGGGTCACGCTTGACACAAGCGGACAAGAAAACTTTTTCCATCCGTTTCATAGAACAGAAAACAAAGCTTTGCGCTTTAGAAGTTTCCTCAACCTCAGGAAAATCAAATATTTCAGAGTGGGTATTCCAATACCTTAGGAAATCGCTAATGTTATTCCCCCATGGTTGATGGGCAAGGAACAAACACAGGTTTACAAAATGGGAACTCCCAGCCACCTGCCCTCACTCCAGAAGCTTTCGGGCTTCACCATGTATTCACATAGGGTTTCATTTCTTCCTCTTGTTGATGAACACATGAAAACAGAGGAGACTGGTTAACTAGCAGAGTCCACTTCCTCACAGTTAAGTCTTTTTGATTTTACCTGCAGCACTTTCTCCCCCACATGCAGGCACTTGCACGGGACTCTCCGCATCTCCCAACTCCACCTACCTGTGCGGTGGCATTGATGTCTTTCCTCCTAAAAACTCCATAGTTCAACGCTACAGCAGTGTTGTCATTTATCAGCTGCAGCACCTTCAAGTCGGCCATGCGTGCGGCGTGCAGAACTGCTCTCCTCTCCGCCTGGTTGAAGTAGGCAGGAACAGTGATCACCGCGTCCTTGATGGGCTGCTCTGAAAGAGTTGCAGGGAACATGTTTTTTCCATCAGTGTAGCCATGTGCCAAGACTCGTTATAACGGGGTGACGGTAGCAAAGCCAGAGAATCTGAGGTAAAGACTCGTCCAGAGTGCAATCCTGAAGCAGCATCAGCAGCCAGGATCATTAGGGATGAATCCTATCTGCGTCCTGTTGAAACCAAGCAGGCTTTACAGGTGCTCGCAAAGCCACGTGTCTACTGACCTCTCTTTCACACGTTAGGATACTCTCAAATGCTCTGGGATGCCTCAGATTTCAACAAATATTATCGTCACGGAGACCTACTTTATCACTGGATTATGTTCACTCTCCAGAGTAAAAGGTCTTTGGACTGGCTTTAGCATCCCTAACCAAACAACACACAGCCTCCTAGTAACGATGCGAGTCAAACACGTCAACGAAATTCACCCTATTTTTGTTACTGTGGTATTTCACCAGCAACACAGCATGGAAAATGCATGACGGTCTCTTATCCGTTAGCAAGTTTCACAACAGAGGGCAGTTTTTGCTCCTTAATCGTAGTTCAGCTCCAGCAGCAAGTCTCCATCCAGACCGGTTACAACACAGACTTCAACAGAGCCACTTCCCTCTTCCCCTGCAGTTACCTACCAACGCGCCTCCGCTCTAGTCGCACACACGAGTGAGAAAACACTTCACTCTTTCTCCAGAGATTGCCAGTAAGGCTTCTTCACTGCAAGGTTGGGTGGGATCTGGGGTGCCTGTCCCCAAGAATAGGATGAAGACCCCAAACTCACATCATATTAGAAACAAATGATGACTTGATAGCTGCTAAGTCTTGCTTACAGCCTACGGCTGAAGAGACCCAGCGTCCTGTTTCTAAAAATCCACGGGTTTTCAACCACCTTCGGTCTCTACTCAAATCCTATAATATACAAAACACACACACACAGGTACTGTAAGAAACAGCTAAATCCTTCCAACCTGCAAATTCCTCAGCCAGACCACGTGAATAGTTCAGGACCATCCCCAGCACCTCCTCTGGAGAATACTGTATCGTTCTACAAGAAACAGACAGGAAAGAAAATTACAGCAACAACAGAGTCAGCTGTAGAAGCCTGGTAGCCAAAGTCCCACCCACAAGGAACACAGATGCAACCACTTACTGGGATAGCTTGAAGATAACGGTCTGCCTTTTCTCATCCTTCACCAGTTCATGCTCTGGGAATCGGGACCGGTACAGCGCCACGTGGGGGTTATCGACACGCTTACCCAGCAGATCCTGAAAGTATCTGAATGCCACTTTGGGGCTCCTTATGGACTGCAGAAAGAGAAAGCACATCACCCAGCTGCATCCCTTCGGCTTTGCTCTTGTCAGACAAACCTCTCCCAAGCTACGTGGTGAACAGCTCTTGTTATGGGAGTTAAGAGCACAAGACCGGTACGCAAAGAGCCAGTGCAGAAAGCCAGTAACACACCAAGGAGATGAGAAGTACAGGACAAGAAATAAAACTTCCTATCTCAGACATTTATCACGAAGGACCCAGCAGTAGGAACACATATTCTGTGTACAGGAACTGCAGCTGGTGCGACGAGTAACAAGAACCCTTACCATCCCTAGCGCGCTATCGCCGAAGAGACGCTCGTTCTCCTTCAAAGAAACCGCCACGGGTGTTTTCCTTCGTGACTCCCTGTGTAGAAAGAGAAGAATAAACCAGTCAAAACAGGTGAACATTCAATACAGAGTCCCTAGCGAGGAAGGGAGTTGTTTCCATTTCAGAAAGACTAAGGGAAGGTGCTCGGATACCACCTATGGAGAGGAAGGCCAGCCGCCGTTCATCTGAAGGGCTGCAATAGCAGCGCCTCCCTTCAGAGCTTTCATACCTCCTGATGTTCCTCAAGACACTGGCAAATAATGTGCTTTACCGAAACACGGGCAGACATCTTTTAAATTCACAGTCAAAGCTGTGGCGGGCAGATTGTTCTTTTTCCCATAACACAAGCGAACTTAACAAGAGGCGACTCATTTCTGCTCCAATTTGTGCATTAGCACACCACGGTGAGCACTGCAATACGATAACTACGAAATGGCTTAAAGTTGTCCACTAAGCTCAGGGCACGCTACCCACTTCCAAATGCCTCATAACACATTATCAATTCTCTAACGCAAGGCTACAACAAAACGACTTGCCACGAAGAAGAAAGGCTCACAAGCAGCCTTCTGGAACGTGCTGCTTCGTACTTAGACAAGACTTGCTTTATTCTTGCTTTCCTCCACCAGTGAGCAAAGGGAGACAGTTCCCTCATTCTATCAACGACTGCCAAGTTCAGGGAGCTGGGTGAAAAATCCATTTATTATCTCTCAGTCTAGACTCCCAGAAAACGAGGATGTTCCTGACCGTACATCCTCTCCCAACTGCAGGTTTTTCATTCAGCCCGTCTTGGGGACGGGCTGCAGCAACAAGCAGCCAAGTGAAAGGAGAGCTTTATTTCCTCCACAAACGAGTACGGGGTCTGAACAGCTGCAGCGAAACAAGCCCACCTCCGGGTTCCCTTATGGAGAGCCGAGAATCAGGCTCCTTAACTGGATAGGCAAGAACACGATACTACGCCCTTCCACATTTGAACAACAGCATGTCCTTAATCACACAGGCTTTGGGTTGCTTGCTTAAGAGGCCCCCAGAGCGCAACCAAGCACCCCTCGGGTAAGGTCGAGACGTGAACCGCTGCCCTGCCGCCCCGAACGATGCTCAAGAGCCGCTCGCCGGCGGCAGGAAGCAAGTTGGGCCATCCTGAATTAGAGGATGGGCACCTTCCCCTCACCACAGAGGAACAGCGTTAATTGAACCCTCGTTACCCCGCGTCGCTGCCCCCTTACGGCATTTGCGACCACGTCTCGAGCCCCCGTAGAACAGGCAGAAGCCCCCCGGCGTCACATCTTCGATACCAGCACGGGAACAGGCTGGAGGAACGGCTGCTTACTTGTTTAAGACGATCTCCATGGGCACCCCGGGTTTCACGATGGCGATCTTCATCGATTCGCTGCCCACGTCCACCGACATCACCGCCGCAGCCTCTGTACCACGCGAGGAAATAAAAAGTCTTCAGTAAGACCCTACGCTGCAGGAGACCAAACTCGTTCCCGGTACCGAGCGGCCTGGGAAGGGGAATAAAGCCGGCCGGGTCGTTCGGAGGGAACCGCGGCGGGGCGGGC